GAGAGAGAGAGAGATTTGACATACAGGTTTTCCGACTTCATGAGCAAACTCTGGATGTTTTAATTTAATCGAAAAATTGATTTTATTTTTTAAATGAAATAAAATCCAATTGACAGTGTATTTTGTTATGTTATGCCGCCGGTAATAAAATTATAGAGCTATCGTTGTTATGTTAAACCGGTTGCGCGAGCAGAAGAAACCGGGTTAATTTTCCCATGAGTGATAACAATGTCGCCTCGAGGAAACTGGTCCGGATCGTTATTATACTTAACTCTACTATAATTGATTCGTCCTTGTTCGTAGCTACATTTTTACGTGAAGGATATAAATTATCCGGAGAGAAAAATTTTAAAGTTCCGCGATGAACTTTGTAAAAAAAAAAAAAGAGAGAAAAAGGATAAGAAGAATCGCGCGGCGAATCTCTCGGGATTGCGTTTTACGAGCCACCGCTATAAAAGTCGACCTAATTATTCGTTCTTTAAACACATGGTAAAATTAGAAACGTGAGTCGAAGATGGCTTACGCGATTTGCCGCGAGCTGTAATCGTTATTCAGCCAGGCTGAAATTTCTTCTCGCGAGCGAGGCGACATGTTTGGTGCATTAGTAGGAAGTCAATTCTACTTCCGCAATCCGTGCCGCTTTTAAAGTGTCTCCTTTTGTATTGTAGCTTAAACGGAGATGAACGGCAACTTAATTCCGAACGGTATCAAAGAGGCTTTCGAGAAAGATTGCTTTTTAAATTCACATAAAAAAAAGATTATGTAAAATATGAAATTGCATGAAAAAGAAATATTATTTATCACAGAGAGAAAGATTTCTTAACATTTATTATTTCTATTTGTTTGATTCAAATGATATAATTTTATATGAAATATTTATTTGTTCTAAATGAAGATAATGTTGTTTCCTTGCACTAAATCATTATTATTTAATTAAATAAGGCAATTAAATAAGGCAGATGAATGAAATGGAATTCTGTTTCTTGTAAATAAAAACGATATAGGATAGAATAGAAAAGACGTAGTATATTATGAGACCGTTTCAAGCATTTCTAGTAAAAGTTTTTTCAAAACGAATTCACAAAATGGAGATCTTTCTAAATGAAAGATTCCAAGATGAAAGATAAATTAAATATTATTTTGATAATATAATTATCAATTAAGTTGACGAAAAAACATTTTTCTAGAAATTTAGATATTTTTTTAGTCATCTTTTAGATGACTTGGTGTCAAAATGTTAAAATATGTGTATTACTGGAATTATAATGCGTTGTGTGTGTTATGTATCAAATGAAATGATGAAATTGTTTGAATTAAATAATTGTTTAAGCAAAAAAAATGTTTTCTTTCATATAACAATATTTATTATTTGGAAAGTCAAACAGTTGTGTTTATTAATTCAAACAATGAATTGATTGGACTATTGTAAATAATAATTTGCTTGATTTAAAGAAAATTCAATAAATCTAAGGAAATATTTCTCTCTGTAATAAAACATAATTGCTTGATTAAGATAACATATATTATAAAATTCTTATCGTTTCATGCATAAAAAATATACCTTGCTAATTAGGTGAGAAACAATTGGAAGTTTATGTTTTATGTTTTGTCATGAAAATATTCTACGTAGTGTGAGGTTAAAGATAGATAATATGCATCAAGCTCCACTGGAATGTGTTCACTGGAATGCGTTTCACACATTGGTATAGGTTTGCAAGGTCTGACTTGTCAGCGGGAGGCGTATCTCTTTCGATTAGACTGGAATGTTGAGAGAATGTAGAAGCGACCAAGATCAGAAAAAGTTTGTTCGTGGAGGTGAATTTTAAGCAAGGGGAATGCTATCTTATGAACCGATATTCGACCTTGTTTCGATAGAACCAGATATCGGACCAGTTTTGTCGATAATATATGTTGCCGTAGAGAAGAATGAACCTGGGAAGATGCACAGAATTCTATGCGGTTTCAGGATGTCAGAATATGTTGTTGCAAAACGATTACGACTACGATATTGCAGAATTATTGGCCTGTATATTCAACTCTCAACGCGATTACATAACTCAAATCACAGTAGTAAGACTCGATATTTCAATTTAAAAGTAAATTTTTCATTAATTTTATCATCATAACAATTTTATCGATTGTTTGAGAACTTGCTATGATTGAGTAAATTGCCACGATTTGTTGTTGAAAATTGGGTTTTTTTCTAAAATATTGAGCATTGCGTTATTCTTAAGCTCGTAAGAAGAGATAACGTAGCAGCCTTTGTTATTGAATGCATTGCGTGGATGTGGAACAGAGTGTATTACGAGTAAATCAGCTACAGATCTTGGTTACAAATCAGCCACTTTTTGTCTGTCTATTTATCTGCGCGCGTCGGTGACGATAAATAGGGAATGAAACCGACGAAAGTCCGGCAGGTTTAGAAACCGATTGGCTAAATAGTTGAAGCGTATAGACGAACGAGATAGCTTTCTATCTAATAGTTATCATTGGTGGTTGCCTCGAATAATCTAAATTAAAGCATTGTACGCAAATAAAAAAGGCAAAGGTTTCGTGAATACCATTATACATTTTGTCATCGCAGTGTCGTGTCACGATTTTAATATCTGTTATTATGAATAATGCAGCTCGATCTTTCTACAACGCGATGATCGATTATGCAACTTTGAGCTTAAACAAATAATTCATTTCTATCTGTCTTCTAATCAATCCCCAATTGTATCGCCCATTGTATCGTTCGCAGGACCTATCTTATATATTTATATTCCTTTGAGGTTCATCCGAAGGATCTGAAGGATCCTTAAAATGTCAGCAGGTATTCAGAGGGACTATACGTGTAATGTCTGCATACAAACGCGTCGAAGAGCATGTGGAAGAGCAGCGGCGGCCGAACGCCGGCTGAGCGCCGTGACTTCAATGCGCGCAATAGCGCGAGTGCGCACAAATGGCGATGATCAACTGCGCTAATGCGTGCACGTGCACGTACGTGAAACGAGCGTACGTGAAACGGGCGGAATTACGTTTACGATTATGGCCTTCGTTCCAATTAATACGTACTGGGGACACGTACTTGTGTACACACAACGGCGGCGCCCACGTGAAAATGATCCCTCATATCATAGTCATTGTCGCCGGTGTAGACTCGGGCTCTAACTCGGTCATGTGAAACTTTTACGACAAACCACCTACTACTCGCGCCTCCTCCTTTCTCCAGTTCGCTTCTCGTTTTGATCTCTCTCGGTCCCCCCCCTCTTCCTCTCCTAACGGCCGGATTCTAAAAGAATGTCGACAAACGTCTGACGGCCTCCACCTTGAGATTTCGTTTCACGATTGTTCAACCAAGTGTGAGGATCACCTCTGAGCAGGTAGTCAACATAGACAAATGCCTAAAATACTTTATTATAGAGAAATTCTGATAAATTCAAACAGTTCGAGGAAATTCCGAAAAAAAATCTGTTGAAAGCAAATATATGGAATTTTCATCTTTTAAAAAATAAAATGTTGCCTATGATATATCTAACAATAATTGTTTTAAATAATGAAAAATTTAAAGTTTAACTTTTTATATTAAAAATATTAATAGAATTTATGTTATATTGAAATATATTAAAAAATCATTTTCTCCGTTTCGAAATCGATATCGATTTTTCCTGAGACTGGCAATTAGAAAATTACTTTTGCGAAACAAATTTTGTCAATCTTTTAATCAACTTGCAAAATAAAAGTGCGTTTCTGGCAATGCCAGAAAAAGATTTAGAATTCTGTAGCCGAAGCGAAATAGATCTTTCTAATTCAAGTCTTGGCACGAACATCGATCTGCTGTTTGCACCCGGTTACTGCATCGCCGTTCAAAGTAGGTTACGAATACGACTGTACTTTGAGAAAGTAACCAACATCGTTGATCTGTCTTTCGCTCGCCATGATTAGGCGCGTACATTCACTAGAATAAGATTACAAATTTGTTTCGTGTACACATAGGCACGACTGTGCGCAAAACACAACATTTTCTGCGGTCAAACGATAAAACTATTTGTAGGGAATAATTTTAAAAAAAATACTGGGATTATTTATTAAAAAACTTATTCCAAGTCAATTTTCAAAATTCATTAAAGAAAAGACTAAAAGAAAATATTTAAAATGTATAACGATTGATTTTTTTTATATTATTAATACGTTCGTGTTTGTCTCTTTCTCCTTTCTTATTCAAATATTTAGTTAACAGCTAGCGTTTTCACACTCGGCACGTGCCAAATTCCTAACTCCGACTCGGTCAAGTCAAACCGCGCGCGTTTCGAGGTCAGAGAGGAACGGGTTTTATGCGGATTGTGAAGGGGGGGGAGGTTTCCGCTATCAATTGCTCGATATAGCGTTACAAGTCGATTTACAATTCGAGGATTTACAATACGAGCCTCAAAGGAGCCTGCAAACGCACTCTATTATTACTCTTCCTACGTACGGTTACCTCCCGCTCCGTTCGCGCGCATTCGTTATTGGCGCCGTAATGACGCGAGTGAGTGAGTTAAGGATTCGATGTTTAACGAACTCCTGCTAACTCGCGAGACGCAAATTATGCGAGACCGCGCGTACGCGCGCGCGCGCGCGCGCGCGTTGTGTAAGAGAACGAGTCCACGAGTCGTTACGCAGGTTGGATTCCGATGCAAATGTAGATTACGCGCTTACAAAATTGCACATCTGCCGCGATCGTGTAGAAAACTGTACGCGCTACATATTCAAAATTCTTACCGTGCAACAATCGCAGATATAATATTCCGCGAAGGTGGAGCGGATATATTACCGTGAAATTGCGGTACTTGAGCGGAGCGGCCTATCTTGGTCTATCTGATTGAGGACTGCATTTACATTGTTATGCTCATTGAGCGAATTAATGCACCGTCCATAAGCCGACGCAAGGACGCGAGGAAGACACGTCCTTGACGTTCCGCCATGCCCCAGTCGACGGGTTGAAAATTAGAAATAATAACAGACAAACTAAATTATATTTGAGCGATTTCTGCGATCCTCTTTATCTCGTCGCGTTAAATTACGATTTTGGACTAAAAAAAATATAAAAATTACAACACCGAATAATGATGTAGTTATATTATTTATAATTTAGATTTGCATGAATGGAAATGACGTTAAAAATTAATACAATTTAGGGTAGATGTAAATAGTATATCTCATATTATTATATATATATATATATATATATATATATATTTTTATTATTATTATGTGCTAGATCTACTTATTTATTTTCTATTTGCTTACTGCCAATTGTCAATGATTACGCGGGACTAGCGCGTGGAATGTCGCATTGCTAAAATGAGTCTGCGCGTGCTCCGGACAGATGTTTGGTCCTCCCGATGATGTCCCGCAATTTCTTCGCTCTGGCATCCGCTCTTCTTACATTATGCCACTCCTTCTTCTCAGTCTACAAATCCACGATGAATATATTTTCAGATCAACCCGTGTTTTTCCGCGCCTTTAACTTTGACGAGTAACAGCTGTAGTCGTAAACCCAGAGTGCCTTCACTTACGAATGAATAGGAGCACCGTTTTAACACGCACGACGCACCAGTCACGAGAAATTTGTTTCGTCGATTTCTGGATCAAGCACCAGTCAATCGGCAGAACCGCACTCTGACCGAAATGGATCATCGACATCTGAGGCGCGAACCATTGAACCATCGAAACACTAATGTTTAAATCTAAATTGTCAATTAATCAAAGTTTAATTAATAATTAACACTGTTCCTTTTTTTTTAAATAGTCATCTTACAACGATACGGCCGCGATAAAGAAAAATATGAGGATGAAGATAGCGTCATATTTTTTAAAATGATATTTTGACACTTGAGGCAATTGACAATTAACAGGTTTGAACCAAGAATGTGAGAGAGCGAGCGGCCAATACTGCCGCAAAGAAGTCCGGAGCGGGACTGACTGGCGGCCAGGATTCATTTGGGTCAGCAGCGCAACGTAGTATACCAAAGACTGCCTCTCGACTATACTATCTGTTACAATCCGGAGTGAAGGTGCTATGCTATGTGCGTTATAACGGAGCTATCTTCGCCGCTCGTGTAGTTTGATTTTTCTTCCGGGCATCCCGCGCGTTCGAGATTTTTTTTTTTCTTTTTTTTTTTTTCATATCGTTCGTGCGCGAAAGGCATCCGAAAAAAATGTAAATTTTACAACCGATTATTTTTCCATCCGTTAAATTTCTTAAAAAAAACCCTCCGACATGTTTCGATTCTTCCAAACAAAGAAAATACATATTCCTGTTTTATGTACAATTTTTTTCATTTTGTTGATTTTTTTTTATTTATAATCTCATCGTCAAAATTATGATAACATTTATATTACGATTATATTACGATTGAATAATGTGCGATTTTAACAAGCGCAATCGACATTAAAATGTAGTGTGGATTATTGTCCAATATGCGTTATGTAAAATATTTCTTAATCGATAAGAAACTTATTTAAATACGAAGAAAGCGTTTTACAATAGTGACATAAATATAAATAGTGCATCAAATGTTGGCACATTTTTATATTTGTTATAGCAAACGAATAAACATAATATGCGATTAAATATGAATATTTAAGTAATCGAAATTATTTAAGTCATTAAAAATCGAACGTATCGATAAGTGCGCGATATTAAAAATAGAAAAATTATCACAAGTATATACATCACATTGTGAAATGAGGCATTATCTTATTTTTTTTGTACATTTTTGCTAGTCGATGCTAACAATTGCATTCATTATTGTAAAATTTAGTAAATATAACGTTATGAATATATTTTGTATTATGCTTTGTTAATAGCTGCAATATATAAGCTGCATTTTAAGTCCCTATTCTAAAACAAAGATTAGATTTCCTTGATTAAATAGATAATAAATTCGATTTTATAATATTAGGAACATTATGTGCTTTAAAAATTTTTTAATGCCCCTTCACAAATTACATATAAGTCTACTTGATAGACTTGCAAAGGTTCACAGTGTTAATATTTAACTTATTACGTGAATCTTCATTATATATTATAAAAATATATCTTTCTTTATATGTAGATAATACTTCCGTTTTATGAAAAATAAGCTTTTATAGTCTCACGAGGTATCCCGTACTGTTCAGGAGATTTTTACTTACTTTTTTGGAGTTAGAATTGATAACGCAATGGTATGGAAGTCTTTGGTTTAAATTCTACGTAATGCGAATAATCTAGTTGTAACACAACAAAATTATTGTTAACAAATGCTCTTCTGAATGGATACGCATTTCCCTTGAACAAGAGAGGACATAGAGGCGGTTTATTCGCGATTTTTGCCGTTCCATTATCAACCGCGTCCCATAAGTCAATCATTTGACATCCTCGCGGTCTGAAGAGATATAAAATTTAATATTACGTAATTGTTGTCGTATTTACGCTTTTGTCATACTTACACGTTTGCAAATCCAAGGCACAACGGTTCCTCTAATATAACATAACTAACTTTCATGTTTCTTAAAGAAGTATATACAGAGGCAGCATCTTTTCGACTGAAAATCTCATAAACTTTCATTGTTCTATCCCTACAATATCATAAAATATTTTGTACAAATAAAATAAATATAATTCTAAACAGTATCATAATAACGTTAAGATTTTTATTTTTATTTATACCTCATTTCTTTGCTCTCGTAATAAGGATTATTAACGATCGATCTTCTAGTCGATAGCATTAAATTTGCCATCAATGACATCTTTCCTGCAAATACGGCATGTTTCGGTGTATTACTTTTTATCCATTCAAATAAATCTTCTTGTTCAAGATTGCTATATTCGCCTAGAAATATATGTAATTTGTAATTTGAGATGTAAAAAATTAATTAATTTAAATTGAATTCGATGAATAATTACCTATAAAACTACGTTCTTCTTGAAGTCTGTCAATACCGTGATACGACATACCACTTACTAAAAGAATAACAAAGGCAAGTCGCATAAGTTCACTTTTCAAACCGATCTTTTCGAGATATCGTTTGCTACACACGGCACCAGCTATTATACATAAATGTGGTGTCATAAATAGCTTTAATCTCATAATGAAAATGGCCATAATGATGAAGGCGCCAGTCTGTAGGCCATTGTATGCTACATCAGCCTCTATGCAAAATGGATAATCGATCGTCTTGTAACTTCTGTACCAGTAATACAACGCGAGAATTCCAGCGAGTATTGCCGTTGGCAATAATAAAGTCTTAATAATCGCTTCATATGTTTTATATTGCAGAAAGTCGAATTCTGCAGAACATGTATAGAGCATAGTGTGGAAATCTTTATAATTTGTTAATTTAGATTTCAATATGTTGAAGATATGGGCATCGTCTTGAGAATATAAGACATAAGATTTTATCCATTTTGTAAAAATTATCGTTATAGCGATTTCAAAAATTTCTCGTTTGATATTTTGAAATCGAGATATTTTTGTTATAAAATTGGCCACATTACTGCTGATTATGATGCACGTATAGAGTGAACAAATAATAAGAGTTCCATTTGTTATCTTAGTTACTGCTGCAATTGCTAAAACATGAGTTATACAAAAATTTTTATAAAACTCATACGGAATGATTCTCAGCCATTTTAGTATAAGAATCGCTACAATTTGCGTTGTAAAAACAAAATGCGAAAACTGCCAAGTGCATAAGCTGCAAATTGTCAAACCAAATATATCCTGAAATAACAAAATACAATTATATACAACAAAAGCAATTTTTTAAATAATCGTACAATTCTTTTTTTATATCGTACCATGAGTAATCCTTGCCTAGTTCTGTTTCTTAATGAAATTGGCTCTTTATCTCCATTGTGTTTTGTATATTTTTTAATAGCCATAGTAGTACTGTACATTTGAAAAAGTAGCATAGGATATGCAAAAGTTTCTCGTAACGGTGGTGTCCACTGAACACGAGTGCATTCGTTGTGATTAAAAAAGAAGAACAGAATTGTTATGAATCCACCGTAAATGGAATTACTCAGGAATGTTGCATAATAAAAGAGCACCGCTGCTGTGATAATTGTGGTAAACCAAACTATTTCTAGATAGAAATACACAGGTACACCCAGGCCTTCACAACTAGTTATCGGTGGCAAACCATCTCCTCTTTCTATCTGAAAATAATCAATTTAAGTAATTCACAGATAAATATTTCACAGATATAATATTCTTTATATAGAAATTCTACAAATCTTACCTGCCAACATTGTTCCTGAGATACGATACCAAGACTTCTTGCAACATGATAAAGGAAACCTGCTAAAATCTGAAAATAATATAATAAAATAGAATTCATCATTATAGACAGATTCAGGTGATTAAAAAGAATTATAATTACCTCAGGTAAAAGACTATATTTTCTGCTGGCATCAATAACATTACCATACTCTGATAGATTGTCATGACTGATCTTGTCCATCCCATCAAAAAAGTCTTTGGATTCAGTGATGGTTTTATAATAAGAATAATACATTCCCTGAAAAATATATTAATTTTATGAAAAAGCAGTAAAACACAAAGCAGTTATCAAAATAATTATATTAATCAAATATTTATATACATAAAGAAATATATATAAAAACAAAAATCTTGCTAAATATATTTCATATATAAATTTCATATATAAATTTTACTCGCTTTATTTTAAGTAAGTCTAAAAAATTGGATAAATGCTTATCAAGTTCATTCTATTTAATAGCAATGACTTGTTTTATTTATTTGTTTGATTTTTACGTTTGTAAAAATCCTCCCGTCGTTGCCGAGGTATAGCTTTGATACATCACTGTATTTGGCAGGATGTTTGGAGATAGATAAAAGCGCTTCGGTTTGATCGATATGAAAATTTCTACGCTATCGATTTACTTGAATGTCACACATGACTATAAAATATCGTCACCTATTATCATACCATCTCAGTCCTAAAGGACATCTCTCGCTCGATTTCCGAAAGATGAGAAAAGTGTCGATCATTTTCGAACAGCGTGGATACATGCCACCCGATGCAAACAAACCGAAAACCAAAGAACCTGTCGTTGAGACAAAGATATTTCTACTTTTAAACGTAATCCCTCCGATCGCAGATCGCTCCG